CTAGATAGCGCCCCCCCCAGTGTGGATTGAAAAATTAACAGCAATGAAACAGGTGTGCGTTGCAGATAAAGTTAGATATTAGGACAATCTGTTTAATCTAGCTCATGATGTTTTACCCTGGTGAATATGATTCAACCATATATGATTAAAAAATATATATTATGTTACTACTTTGCAATGCAACATTTGTCCTAACCCATGGCCCGTCTTCATACAGTGAAATGATTTGAACACAGGGCTTTTTTAAGAACTTGTCTGGGGGTGGGCATCTACAAAAAGCTAGGGACCATACTATACTGAGTGTGGAGAGATGACAGATGGTTGTTGGTGACAAAAAGTTTGGTGTGGTATCGTATGTACTAGTAGGGGGTCTGGGGGTATTCTCCCCCAGAAAATGTTTTGTATTTTTTTCACCCCTAGGACTGAAATGTGAGCATTTTCTGAAACAGATTTTTGGATATACAGCGTTACATTGTGTTTTGAATTGATAGACCGAATCTGATCAGTTAAGTGTACTTGCATGGTATGTTTATGTAAATACTACAACTGGGTCACTCAAGGGGTAGGAAGCTTGTTAAACTTAGTGGGCCCCACGAGGCGCTATCATGGTTGGCGCTGCGCAGGGAAATTTTGAAAATTTTGAGTCTCTAGATTGTTGGAAATTGCATTTTCAGAGTGAGTCTTCGTTTTGCTATTTGTGATTATAGAAATCAGAACTCTAGACATGGTATTTAAGTTCAAAAACTTTTTTGACCCCCACTTTCTCTGCATTAAAACTTTTTTGACCCCCCTATTTATAAGGGTAAAACTTCGTTTGCCCCCCCCTCCCATTTACCAGCCCCCCTTCCCCATAAATAATGACCACTCCCTAACCATATTGTCATAGAATGAAGTTGAGCATGATATGAAGAATTATTAAATCCGAAGTTTGTGTGAGGGCTTGATAATTCTTCATATCTTACGAAAACCGAATTCAATAATTGTTTTATTATATATTTATTTAAAAGATGAAACAGAAATCTGTGGCTATGGGTTTAATTCGTCGAGATAATGACCAGTTCTTTTCCTCATGGGCATGGCCACATGCAGAAAATGTTTCCTGTTTTTCTTTCATAATTTCGTTACGATTTTCAAAACTCCTCATGTTCTTTATATTTTGAAAGTCGTTCCCATTTAAACCTGCGAAAACGGCCGAAGCGGGCCACGAAATACTAAACGCAGTGGAAGCATCTCGAGAGAGAGAGGCACTTGGGGGGGGGGTTGAAAAATATCCTGGTGGTTGAATAGATTGTTGGGGGTTTGGAGCCATGTTAAAATTTGAATTCCATTGGATAGCTGGTCACACTGGTGGAGCGGGGTGCTTCGGGTCAGAGTCGCATAATTTTTCGAGGTGGAGTAATGACAACAATGTTTAAAACAAAACGTTTTCTTTAATCGTTAGTTACAATTTTAATTCCAATTTTTTTAGACAAACCAGCTAGTCAACTAACTCAACCTGCTTTTAAGAAAAGTGTAACAGGTAAGGAATTAAATTATGCTTAATGAAACTTTGTCCATTGCTAATAACAGAATCGGGGGCCAGAGCTGGAGGCTATACTTAGCCTGAAATTTTGTAATTACAGAGGAAGGCTAAACCCCTCCAAATATAAGCGCTGCTCCCGTTCAGGTCGTCGGGTCTAAAATGTGTATAAAATGGTAAATTTCGCTTGAAATTTCCATCAACCAAAATTAAACTATTCAACATTCAGCTCTATTGAGCGAGATGCCCAAAAATCTTGATTATTTTAGATCAACCTTATTTTCAGTGTCCCTTCAGTTTAATTATCTTTCCTATTCACCCCCACATTCATAGGCAGAACTAGGAGTGGTGAGCATGGGAGTGCAACTTCCCCCTCTCAAATTACAGTAGCCCCCTGCTATTCTCATAAGCCCCCTCTCTATCAACCCTTACCCCTCTTCACAACAAAGAACATATGCATCTTAATTGATCATGCAGCTGGACGTTCATGTTAGTTACTGTGTTTTATACTTTCTTTGTTTCGGCTACATGAATTTGTTCCCTTCTATTGAGCCCCGCCCTCAATCCTGCCTTAGATAAATAGGCTCCCCGCTGGGGAGTTCATCGAGATTTACGGTAATGTATTTGCAATTTTCCAACATGCCAGAAATATCAACCAGTAGACAACAAGCGACAAGGCCATGCAAAATATCAATTAAAAATGTTCGGGTTGCATTAAAATATTCTGTTTTGGCTATTAATACTCTATTACAAGAGTGATCTCGTGAGATTTCTCGTTCTTTACTTTCCTGCTGATCCAGTAGAATCTTTCCTGGTTTGTATTGAATTTTCCACCTTGCATGCGAAATAGCGCAGTTGCTATAAATTACCTGCCCACGTATCCTTTCCCTAAACTAGTTTATGGCAATAGTGGCATATCAGGGTGATTGAAAATTATTATAATTTCTTTAGACACCGGGAAGGATGGTGGAAGCTGCACAGATGATGATTTGTCAGGCGAGGAGGAGGAAATGCCTGAGATAATTTCTTCGATTGCATCTGAATATGAAGTATGTTTTGGTAGAAAGTAGTATTACTTATATGTAGTCATAGCATTACTTCTCTGTTTCCTGGGCATAGCCATATAGCCCACATCACTGCATTCTATAACCTGAGATCCGCCAAGTAGTAGCGATATACTGTTAGATAACTGCATAAATATATGAGCGAAGGAGTGTATTGAAAAATTTAAAAATTTCCCCTTCATTGTATAAGGTCATCACGACTTCAGTTGCATGTGATCCAATTTGATCCATTACTTTGTATTACTAGCGTATGGCATGTGCACAAATTTCATCGCTTGATTTACGCCAAACAATTGCATCAATAACAACATAACAATTGTGAGCATCTCAGTGTTGAAGAAATTTTTAGATGGAAATTTCGAGCGTATGATTATACAATTTTAGACGTAACCACGAACGGATACTGTACATGCAACTACTGTGTATAGACCGTCTGGCGGCCCTGCGATTTCGATGCAGCACTCTAACCAAGTCCAGTTGTCGAGCTCTAACTAAAAGTTAGAGCCGCAGGTTAGGGCTGCAGGTTCTATTCCCATACTAGTTGCATAGATAATTATGTTCTCTTGCAGACTGTCAACTACCCACCAAGACCTCCAAGTGTCATCCAGGTGAGTTTATTTACGGTATTATGTCGTTATGCAAAGAAAAGGTCGTCCAGGAAAATCAAAACATCAGATTTTTATTGTCCCCTATATATATAATAAATGAGAACTTAACTTAAAATCTGATTCCATGGGGGAGGATTCCGAAAGTTCGTTTGTGAATCTTGAATAATTTTAGCATGGAAGGTCGCCCATTCATGGGGATTCAATATTTCAGCTGAATTGTCTCACCTTTGTACTGTAGGTAGAGCTGCTTCCAATTAATTGATTATACTTAACAACACTCGGATCATCTATATATACAGTATATTACTGTATAACAACCCTGCATTTCTATTACTCAAATCATACTTAACTGGTCGTACTCAAAGATGTGAAGTCAATGGATCTATTTCAGGGGGAAATGACGTCAAATGTGGTGTACCCCAGGGGTCTATATTGGGGCCACTATTCTTCTTACTCTATATTAATGATCTACCTGCATGTCTGAGTAAAACAAAACCATGGCTGTTTGCTGATGATACAAATATCACAGCAGCTGGAGAATGCTTAAGTGATCTTGAAGATGCAGTAAACTCAGATTTAGAAATGCTTCGTAAATGGCTCATGGCAAACAAACTGAGCTTGAATGTGGCAAAAACTGAATTTCAAATTATTGGTACTAAACAGATGCTGAAGAAAGCTCTGTTCAGCAACTTAAAATTCACATTCAAAACATACCCATGAAGCAGGTTTTTCAATGTAAAACACTGGGTGTGACTGTTGATGAAAATTTGTGTTGGAAGAGCAATACAGATAAGGGACCGGTCATTATTTATGGTGGGGGGTGGCACCGAAGAGAAATGTTTTTCATGGCAAAAATTTTGCTGACCCAACCATTAAAAAGTAAAAAATTTGACTACCCAATCTCAAATATCAATCAAAAAATAAATACTCACCCCTGGCCAAAAACTTTACAAACAGTACCATTCAGTTGTCACACATGTCCCTTGCCACTTCTGTGACATGAGTTTGATAATGGATTGTGAATTTTTTTGCAGACTAAAGTTTTATGTTGTCTGCACATGTACTTTCTTTGGAGACACCATTTATCTCCCAACAAATTGAAAAACAGTGATCAAGATAGTGACTCCGATTGATTCACATATTGTATTGACATTGCTTTTTAGTCTCCAATATTTCAGTGAGTCATGCTTTGGAAATTATTATTACCCAACCCTTGAGTTGTTTTGTTTTTCATTTACCCAACCTTTTACTCACTCAAAATTTTGTTTACCCAACCCTTTTCTCTTCGGTGCCACCCCCTGCCATAAATAATGACCGGTCCCTAATATATGTAAAAAGATATCATCTGGAATATACGCTCTGAAAAGCATTAAAGAATATGTTGATCAAAAAACACTCGTTTCCGTATACAATGCTATAATTCAACCATACTTTAGCTACTGTTGTGAAGTTTGGAATATATTTGGTGAAACGCAATCCACGCGTCTCCAAAAACTTCATAACAGAGCTGCTCGTGTAATAGCATGTGTGCCTAATGTGGTAGATCAACAAACTGTGCTAAATATATTAGGATGGGAACCACTCAAGGAACAAAGAGTGAAAGCAAAGGCAAAAATAATGTTTAAAACGCTAAATAACATGGGGCCAAATTGTCTCAAAGAATTATTTACTTTCAAAAAAGAAATATTAAACCGCAGACTTCGTAACAGCACAAGTACCATACGTTTGCCCAAGCCAAACACAAACAATATGAAAAAGAGTTTCATGTATGATGGAGCTTCCATATGGAACTCTCTTCCAAAAAATATAAGAGAAAGTAATTCGCTCTCAAGTTTTAAAAGAAAAATCGCTACCTATAGCTTATAAGGAAAACCACATCATTGTAAATAGCAAACTTTTTGTATATATTTTAATAATTTTTTATTCTGCATGTTAATACTTCCTTATTATTTTACTTGTAACAATTTGTTAATGTTTTTTACACGCCCATTGTGGAAACCAGCTTCTGCTGACAATGTTAGCGTGGTTAAATAAAGTTTATCATCATCATCATCATCATCACAGCATGATAGATTCATCAGTATTTCACTGACAGATAACTTTGATCCTGATTTAAGTTTTTCAGATATTTAGTAGCGCTTATAACCTGTTGAGTCATTTGGTTTACATAGCTTTTAGTTTATTAATTTGAAAAATCTGGCTCCGTTACAGTATCAGTTGGATTAGTGGACATCGTCATCGTCTTGTTAGTTTTCTACTTGTGTGAAGTAAAGTAAACAATTAAGTTAAACAATACTTGAGTAAACAATAATTTCAATCGTAAATACATTCTGAGTTGTTGGATGACAACAAGGGAGGCACCATAGATATCTTATATACACTAGATAGCGCATCTCTTTTAGTAAAATTGAAGCCAAGAATATTCCAGCGGTTACCCCCATTTGAATAGATGGCGGCCATGTTGGTAGTTCCCACTCGCTAATAAACGCTTAAAAACAACAATAACTTTCATCATTTGAATAGTTTGAAAATGTATTTGGAATAGGTTTAACATAACATAATTTAAGTTCCCTGTTTAAGAAATAGAAAACATACGAGTCTTCTCATTTCATGGAAATATCCTGAGTCTGCAATCACGGCTTCAATTTTTGAATTGCAGAATAATTAGATGCACTATCTAGTGTATATAAAATATCTATGGGAGGCACATGTCAAATTTTAATTAGTCAAAGCCATTAATCGATATTTATAAATTGTTAATAACGATTAGTCGATTATGAAAATGACCGATGGGAGCAGCTCTACTTGTAGGCCAGTCGCTTTCGTAGTAGGACTAACGTATTCGATTCTATATAGGACTTGACTTTCGTGCCTCAATTTGCAGAAACCTATAATAACTTTAATATCCTGTTCGTCTTTTAGCCTCGTCACTCAAGCAAGGAAGGCTATCTATACAAGCAAGGAGGGTGAGGCATATAGCCTTTATAGTAAATAGCGTATGGGGGGAGGGGGCATCCAATAAATGAAGGCGGTTGTTCCACAGTTTTAAAGTACTAGTGGTAAAAGAAAACGTGGAAAAATACTTAATTAATTACTATAAAATATTTATTATTACTCTTGGTAAGCGCTGAACATGACTGCATGCTGGTTTTTGAAAATAGCGGTACAATACACTGAAGCCTCTTTTAAAGTTGCAATGTAAAATTATTTTAGCCAATTCTATAAATGTAATCTTAGTAGTAAGTACAACAATAAGTCGGTGCAACGATAATCTCACATACTTAAATACTTCGATGACCAGTGGGCACATTTTGCTTGAAAAAAACTATAACATGCCTAACTATATTAATGTATAAAATAGTTCATTTATAGTTAATGTATATGTTAAGTTAATGTTAAGTTAGAGAATGCAAAATGCCGCTAAATTTTATTTGGTACGTAGGCAACAAAATAACAAAGGTTGGAAGAAAAGATGGGTGGTATTTGATGGACATGAACTTTGCTATTACAAGGATAAGGTAAATCAATGACCTGCTTGTCAGAGACGTTTGTATCTGCATGCGTCAGTAGATATAATGCTGAGGTGCCAGAAACATGTTAATTTGTGTGTCTGTTTGCTTCTAGCCACTCAGCGTCAGCTTTATATATTAATATATATTCTAAGCAATCAGCGTACCTTCTTCCTCCTCGTGTTTGACCTCTCTATATATTGTATAACTGAAGTAACTATTTCACGATGGCGGACTATTCAGAACCATTCAATCAGAGCGCGAGCAATATAAATATGGGCATATTTGTAAATTTTGAGAAGGAAGTCAAGAATAGAAGCGAGAGCATTTTCATTTTTTGTTTTATTTTGAACACGAGTAATGTTGAAGGAGTATTTTTAATAAGCAAAATATATATTATTTTAATAATTTTTGACTCTATGAAAATGATTCCCCAATTAAATTGATTGCAAATTACTGTAAGCCTCTTTAAATACTGCACGCGAATACCCTGTATGCATGACATGTATTCATGCTTTGACTTAGATGTAGTCTCTCATAAAGTGTTAAACCTTAAGCAATGAATTTTTTTAATCAGCATTCAATACGTATGTATGATAGGCTATACGTTGTCTTTCTCGGGAAACGTTTTGAAATATTGTAAAACAGCGCCATAGTTTTGGAGCTTCTGCTCTAGGCAGGGCTATTAATTAAATGATATTCACTTGCTGACATTTCCGTACTTGAAATAGTACATGTAAAATCCTCTGACCCCCCCCTCCCCCCCCAACTTCAGATGCTTCGCTACGTCCCTGAATGAAAATAATTCCCGTTTTACTTAAACTTAAGAAGTTCACACGTAGAAATGGCCTATTTGCATGCGACGACTATTCTATATATGGATTTTAGAAATATTATGTACTAGGGGCGGACCATTTGATGGGATAGATTTTCATTGAGCCCGATAATTATATAACCTCCAAATGCTGCTCGATTTGTTTTTTTATTTCGTAGGCACATATACAAAATTGTATTCATTTGCTAAGAATTTGGACGGGCGAAAACATATTCATTTTACAGATGTAAAGCTGGTATACTTTATTTAGGGTATTATAATAAGTTGCGGTATAGTAACCATGTGTTTATAAAATGCTCCGCCGTCCGTCGTGCGCCGTCCGCGGTCCGCCTTTTATCCGTCCGTCCTTTATCTAAACCCTTTGTATGAATGTTAGATTAGCTACCTGACCCTCATTTTTCTGAATAGTAATTACCTCACCCTCGAAAAAGGGGGTCGAACGGCCCCTATATTATTACTATCTTCATCATTCAGGAGAAATATCAAAATGTGAATGCAGTTTTTCACAGCATGCAACCATCAATGCCCCATTTACACGATACCGGATTCGCTTGTCACAACATCGAATTTAACGGTTTTAGGGTTGTCTTAACACTTTAAATTGCGATAATACAACAAAACAAAAGGAACACTGTTATATGTTACGGCGTATGTTGATGTCGTAAAAAACGAATTCGGTATCGTGTAGCTGGGGCCTGAAAGGAAACTCGGCAGATGGATGTGCGCTTACGTACGCGTATATACCTTTTAATTTTGCGTAGCTACGTACCCTTTAATTTTTCTGATATTTTTGTATTAGGAACATACAAATGAATCACTGCAGATGGTGCCACTGGCCATTATGAGAGAAGTTAGGATTATTACCGACGATGTGAGTTCTTTACGTGTTGTTTAGCTTCATGCATGGAAATATGGACGAGTTCTTCGGACTCGCGTGCAATTTTGATTGTCTTTGAAAAACGTTTTGAAATATGGAGGAGTCCTTCGGATTCGTTGAAAACGTTTTGAAATGTGGATTTGAAATCATTGAAAAACGTTTTGAAATATGGATGAGTCCTTCGGATTCGTTGAAAAACGTTTTGAAATGTGGTTTTGAAATAATTGAAAAACTTGTGAAATATGGACGATATTGTGTGCAATTTTGATTGTCTTTGTGTGCGTTACATGCGTCAGATCAATTTTGGAGTATTGCGCACAGGTTTGGCATTACAACATACCTGAATACCTGTCGGAACACAAATAGAAAGAATCGCTGAACATATAATTAATCCAACACTTTCATAGAGCAATGTCTTGACTAAACTCATTTAAACTGAAAATCCTCCTGTATATAGTTACAGTTTACGTGTTTTAATAAACATGCACCAGTTAAATGTATGATTGATCATTTTAGAAACATGCGTCACCAGAGTATAATGAACAATGATAACACATTTTTAAATATTAATTAACAATTATTGAACCAGCTCCAAGTTGAGCATGATATCTAGAAATATCAAGGCTGAAGTTTAACTGCTGAAGACGTACTGTATTTCAGCCTTTGTCGGTAGCAAAAACTATTTTTCAAGAAATTCAATTCAATTCAGTGATTGTCCCTGCATACATACATTTAGCATATTTAACTCGCCATTGTATCACATGTGTACTATATAATATCCAGATAACTGAATTCAAACAAAACATCCGCATTCAAAACTGAGTAAAGTTTTTATTGGCCGTGTAACTATATAGCTCTATAACAATGCCAAGATTTATATAAACCTGTCCGTGCCGAACAAATTTCGGCGGCCATCTTTCTTCTCTTCCACTTTGAATACAGAATATTCCAGTTTCATCACACAAAAATAAAAAAATAATAATTATAAAACAATTAAAAACAGTTAATTTACTTTTTTATTTAAATCTTCGTCTGAAATTTGTTCAAATCGCTTCATAATGGCCGCCGCCGAAACATCGATCTCGAACCCACCTCCTAAACATACGTCAGCATGTGGGTTCGAGATTGAACGCACCTCCTCGTAGCCAATAGGAAAGCCGCTAATACGCTAGGTATGAAATAAATCAACGAACTTCACAATGAACTTCAGACTGTGTCTCGCCCCAGGCGCTATATATGAAACGTTTGCATGAAGTACGCTGCATGTGGACGAAGTATGTGGTACGTAATTGTTACACGAACTATATAGATGTACGCGTTTTACTCTCTGCGCTTCTGTAATACCTCATGTATATAACCTTTTATATAGATATTGGGGCAAGCACAAATTGGGGCAAGCACTTGTAGTTCGTCTGGTTATAAGTCTTCAATATAAAGACGGGCACAAGAAGCGTGCGTCTAGACGAACTTTTTGGGCGCATAATGAGTTTTATGTGCCCGTCTTTATAATAGATATGCAATATAACTAAGTATGTGAGTGTAGTTTTAATACAAAAGCTAGTGCACGCTTCCATTCAAGAATACTATTAATTTGTTGACTTTATAGACTAAACGTGCCAGATTTGATCTTACTTGTGCTGGAAGAACGTATATGTTTGCTTTGGGAACAGAAGAAATGGGTAAGAATGATGTGAATGTGCTTTGCGACAATTTTCGTGTCTCTATTCGTCTGTAAACTTCTGAAGAGTTATAATGGAACGAATGACCAGGGGATTTAAACCAAATTTATTACAAAATCATCCTCAAAGATCAGAAAAATTTTCGTACACAGAACAGTGAACTGATTCGTTGTTTTAACTCGCACCTTGGCATTCACTGAGATAGCCACCAAGATAAGTAATTCTTATATAGAATCATATTCAACAACAAACATAACGTCTTCCCGAAAATATTTGTGGACTCAATTTGGATAACAGTCACGTCCGAATCTCCAGTAGCTTTTAAAATATATATATATATATATATATATATATATATATATATATATATATATATATATATATATATATATATATATATATATATATATATATATACAAGCTTGAGTTACTTCGTTTAAAACATTTATTCACAACAAATTTGTTTTGTATGGCAAGCTAGGCTTGCCACACTCATCAGGTGAATGGTGATATCGCGTATTTACATGATGTTATAACATATAGGTAACTTGAGTTGTTATATACAAATGTTTGACGTCATTAGGAAAGCGTAAATATATGTTTGTAATCTGACTACTGGCTACAGAGCAGGAATTTTTTCCTGTGTCTACATGCCGATATTAGTTCGTTTCTTGAGTTCAATGAGCTTAGTTTGGGATAATAAATTATAACGAACTTTTGGTGCAGGCATAATTTACAACGTTTTGTTTTGTTTGAGTAGGCCTTACATTTCTTTAAAATTTTCCAACGAATAGAGTATTCTATGTTGGACTGTTTCAACTGCCAAATATATTTACTCAGTTCAGTTGAATGTTTATGATCCGGGTTCCTGAACGAGCTTGTATGGTTGTAGTATCTCACTTTAAATGGGCCCGCTGTGTGTCCAACGTAGGTTTCTTTCTGTTGGTTGTCTTTTCTCGTTACTGTGGCTTGGTATACAAGTAATACAACGCTTTCGGTTAAACATTTGCCAGGGAGGGGGCAGGATTCTTCCTGACGGCAATTACACTTCCTATCGGGATTTTTAGTAGCCTCGGGCTGCTTGCGATCGAGTACAGTTCTGTTGTGCCCCGTGATGATATTGTGCACGTTGGGCATACAGCTGTAGCTTAACTTAAGATTGTTCCTATTGAACAGTTTATGTAGTAAGGGATGGTGTGGTGGGAAGCATTCATCAATAGCCTGCAGAAATTTATACAGAAAAGAGTACGGCAATGATATCGGTCTGTACAGAGATGACGGCCTCGCAGCCCAGGGCCGTTGCGAAGGGATATGGATTGGGGGGGTGTCGAAGGTCAAATTGCCGAGTGACGCTAGTTGAATTTGCCGAGTTTTTCAAAAGTTTGTAAAGGTTAGATATAGGTAATGAGAATCATATTGGTGTGCTAGTAACTGAGGGACACCAATATGGCTCTTGTTTTGAAATGGATGCCTGTTCGTGGGTTGTTGTATATTAAACATATAAAGCTGAAAAAAAAATTTAATTTAACATAATTTCACAAGTCCTAAATCGAGACTGAAACTATGTGCACACGGGTCACGTTTTTGAGCGTTTTTGCAGTGCCG